CGTTATTAGTTTTTATATTAATCTTTATATTAATTATATTAATATTATAAAAATTAATAAATTTGCAGAGTATCTGCGGAGTATTTGCAGAGTATTTGCGGGGCGGATAATTTTGAAAGCTCAATGGGTCCCCCGCGGGGCGGAGTATCTGCGGGTCCCCACGGGTAGCGGAGTATTTCTGCGCAGCCTAAGTAAGGGTTTATTGGAACTCTGAAAATCTATTCATCTTAGCTTATTCCCGTCACACTGCTATTGGCTACCTTGAGGTCTAGTTAAATCCCTATCGATATACTCTCACTATTGTCTTTCTCGGAAAATATAGACACTACTCACTCGAAGTCCAAGGAAATTAATGTAAGTAGAGCTTGGATCCTGCCTTGAGTATACAGTGAGTTTATAGCACCTAGAATTCTAATTTAATACTAGTACTATCTAATATTAGATGAGAATTATAATATTGCTAGTAGTAAAGAATGTAATACTATATAGTATGAAATGTTCTCAAAAGACTTAATACGTGTCACTATAGCGTACTGTGGAATAGGGTCTTTACCAATACAATTAACTGGTCAACATACCAGCCTGTCAATCTGTCAATCTGTCAATCTGTCAGTCTGTCAAGCTAATCAGAAAAAGAAATCGAAGAGCAGTGAAACAAGAAAGCAATCAAACAAGCAAACATTGTTTGGCAGCTATTTGATCACTGTCTAGATTCTCTTTCTTTGATTACCGGAACTCAATCAGAGGAATAATAGAGAGAGAGTAATAGTGAAGTAGGTACTTGTCCGGTGTATCTAATGCACTAATCCCTTACTTGACTAACAGTCTACTCAGTTCCATATGATTATATCCCACAACTCAACTTCTTCTTCAAGCTTGTTTGCTAATCTTATATAGATCATCACCGAGACAACTAACAATCAATGACAATATCCTCCCTCATTATATCTGCCAAATAGTACACCTTCATTTTCCGACCATTAACAAAGTTATGAAGACCTCCAGGTAGCCGATATCACCAGCAATACTATACACAAGAAGGTCCACCGATATCTGAGTCTCTGACTCTGGTTGCTCATGAGCCTGTGGTAAATGAGTGTGGGTGTGCCATGTGGGTGGCAAGACTGCATATCAGCTTGAAACTGTTAACAAGCATTATCAACGAGAATCACAAAGAACAAGGATTAGAGTCATGTTAGGGATAAACAGAGAGAGGGAGGTTGTATACAAGAGGAAAGCTAAATACAGAGCTAGTGTGCTTGGCACCGGATATGGATATAGAGTGGAGAGGATTATCTAGTTTCCTTTCTCCTCTATTTAGCTTTCAGTCCACAAATCTATCAACTTTTGTCAATCTTCGGAGTCACGTCAAGGTGAGCACGGATGCTTGAGATATACTATTACTCCCCCGGGGTTTCAAACACTACTTGCAAAAAACAGGGGAACAAGTTCTAATCTGGATTTGTTGGAATAGAGCTGGCTAATAGGTACGGTACCTCTTCACTATGAACTGCCTCTTCAATAAGTCTTCATTTTCGGCAGTTCTTCTACAGGAAAATTCTCTTCCTTTGTCAATCTATCGAGAATGATCAACAGACTCAACACGCGAATATGGAGCAATGCTTTTAGGAGTCAATGGTTATTTGGCGGACCCATTTGGGAGTTCGGGAAAGATAAGTTTGTTACGGCTATGTACCTATGGCGGATTCTCACTCAATGAGAATCGTGAGGCAATCTACAGTCTTAAATTTTCGATGGCGTTGTTCAGCCGAATCTCGCAGAAATACCAATTGCGAGGAAGGAGGTGCCAACGGGAGATAGCTTTTCTCGAATAGAAGTGTTGCGAGCGCGATGAGCGTGGAAGGGAAGAGTTGGAGTCCATTTTTGTTATCTAGAACTCTCTGGCAACCTGGAGTAGATTTGTTGAAAGTGGAGAAGGTTAAAGGTTGATCCATAATTTTAGCATGAGTACTGTGCCCTTTTCACTTGGATACGATGCTTTCATAATGGTAGATTGGAACAATCTCGATAATTCATGTAGCTTGTGTTGTCAATAAGTAGACTAGTGAGTTGATGAGACTTTATTGAATTTTTAGAAACTAGATCTGTGCAAGTAGAAGTGGTCCAAATAAGTTCGGCCAGATATGAATATCTGTCGACATAAGAATCTAGATTGAGGATACGTGTGACAACATGGTTTGCTTTTGCTACATTTATTCATCGTAATCTCCATCATCATCATCATCATCATCATCATCATCATCATCATCATCACAATCATCATCACCCCCATCATCACCCCCTCCTCCACTACCACCACCAAGATTCAATTTGTTCACTGCAGAGCAAAAGGAGGTCCATAAGCTTGACCATGCCGTATATTCAGGTTGTGTGGTTATGAGCATTCCCGATAAGTTTGCAGCTGCAAGTTGACTCACAAGTGCAGTCTGCTGTGTCGTGGTTCCGGTAAAGTCATGTATTACATACGTTGACTTCGCCGATAAGGTCTTGTCTAAAGTAGCCAAGGCTGTTTGGTTGAAGTTCGCATAAGACTCTTCGAATACGTTGATGCTATCAGCGAGAGTGTAGAAGGACGCATCGACCGGAACACCGGGATTCAAAAAAACATAATCTTTCCCAGCCCCCAGTGATGTTTTTGCATATGTGGATATTGAACTCATATATGAAAATGTTGAGTTGTTCGATGGCGTTTCGTCGAAGAAAATACCGTCAATTGAAAGTTTGGTTGGTGTATTCCACTCAACATATTTATCGATTTCTGCTTCGATTTCTGAGACATTTCGTATCCCGTAAGAAGTATACACATAGCCAAGAGTGAGGACATTTGCGTAACTATTCAGACTCGCAAGGCCTGCAACATAGTTGACATCTGGGTCTGTGAATGCTAGATTGGGAGAAACGACGACATGAAACTTAAGATTTGGATTGGCGACAACGGACGTAGTAAGTGTACTCCATGAGGTCAAATTGTATGGGTACATATAAAGTGGAAGAAGTACAAAAGCTGGCAGGACCATAATGACGACGATATATGTCCGTAGCACAAATTGTTCAATATTGGTGAGCAAAAAGCAGTAACACAAGAAGCGCAGACTACTGTATATAGAACGTACATCATAGCAGAAGAAATATAGAAACGTTCCAGAGGAGACTTCTCCTTCATCTGAAATCTGCTTTCCTCATCTGGCCATACGGTCAACACATACTCGTACATAGAACGCTTTGGCGAATGCTCTATCGAAATAGTTCGCGTGTAGCATGTAGCGTATTCCCCAAGCTGAATTTCTCCATCTCGTAAAACTTTCGAAAGTATATTATATCATGCAAGCCTTTTATCATACCTTCCAAATATATATGAATATGGCTTCAATTACGGGGCTGGATTGAACGAACAGAGGTGAAGGATTTGACGTGGACCTTGGTCAATATCTTAGGTAGGAATGTGCAACATTGAGCTGATGAACTATGGATGAGTGGGTGGATAAAATTGAGGAGAAAAGAAGGAAATAAGCTTCCTTTTGCCTTTCGGTTACATTCTGTCTTGTTATCCACACCTTGAGAATTCTCCTTTCCTCTTCATTTTCGGCCTTGTCGGGAAGGAAGCATAGAAACTTCACAAATGACACCATAACCATTCAAATCACTCGTCTCCCAATTAATTTCCTCTTTTATCTGGATATCGGCCAAGATCCAGATGCAGAATGCCTTAACTTTTACGACCCTGCGGTGTTATTGTATATTCCTCGGGCGGCGTGAATGGTGACACATTTGGTTCCGACTCCCCCACGATTCTAAATCTTGATTCCAAGTTTAGAAAGGGTCCCCTTGTACGTATTGTTCTGTTGGAGAATGTTGCTCACCAATGCCAGAAAATGTAGGATCTTATTAGTCTTCTTATTGTCGCAATTATGAGGACTGAAAGATCCTGCACTACCATCATGTTTATAAACATTACGACATTTTCAATTCTGCATCCACAACCTAAGACAATTCTACCTCGTTAAAACCTACCACCGAACTATATCAGGCTTGTACCTGAAAATTACGGTGGATTATCGTTGGTAGCCAAGATCCGTTTGCGTTACCAGCGTCACACTCTTCGCGAGGCTGAATTTTTACATGCAGAATTAGCCATATATTAATCTGACAAGAAGACATTAGATGCTACTAAATACTAGGTAGATGTACGCAGCAGGTCTTGGTATGGCGTGATACTGATACCTTTGCTTTCGGCGTTGGCTCATCTGCTGGTGTCTGCCAGAGGGTCTCAATTTCTGAACTTCTCGATTTCTTCATTGGTTTTTTCTCCCATTTTCCCTCAAGATTTCATTTATCGAACAATTCAACGTCGAGGAAAGCTTATCTTTTCGTCCTTTCTTCTCTCCTTTGTCAAGTGCGCCCATCTCCTTCCCCTTAAGATTCTCCACTGCATGGAAAGAACTGACCTTCAATAGACGTTTGTCAGAGCAGTCATCGTCCTCGATTCTTCTCCGAAGCCTATATTTACTTACGCCACTGCCATCCTATGTGTTCAAACTTTTGTTTTAGCACTTCCGTACCTTCGTCACGTCCTCTTGGAATCGGTATCTCCTTGACTTTTGATATCAACAATGACCCTGTCTATTACCGCAAACGTGTCTCGAATCAATTTCACTATCTTCCTGCACTATGTCAGTGCCTATGTTCCCGGCAATGCCAAAGTACCTGTTATAGATTTTACACAATTTATGCCCAGCTGAGGTCCTTTCGGTAGTTTGTTAGCCAGGCTGCATTTATTTTGGTATCTCTAGACGGCTGCTCGATGAGAGCCTGTCTCCCCTGGGAACTCCATGAGGCCCGTTTTCATCCCTTTTGCTCCTCTCGTCTTTACTCTTTGATTGAACTCTGTTATAGACTTGAAGTCTTCAAACGCGAAGAACAGCCAATTTATTCGATGCTTTATTCCGAATGGCATCATAGTCAATGACTCCAAGCGGTGGTATTTGCCATGCAGCTATCAAGACAAGTTTTCATTAATTCTTGGGGCAATCTGAGCATCCAAAGTATGAATTCTTGCTTCTTTTCAGTCTTCACGCAAGTTGAACCCTTTGATAGACGTTGTTCTAATCCTACCAGACTAGAAGCCACCAACACCTGAGGTAGATTGGTATATACTACTACCGGAAATCATTAGTTTGTAAAGCATTCGACTTTTTTGTTGCCGCTCCAAGACCTTCATGCCATATTTAAACCATCTCCTGTTTCTCCCCTTGGCGATGCTTTTTATGTAAGGCGACAGACAGATGCATGCATGTGAATGCGAACCTGATAGGTGCAAGTTGTTATATCTCAGAGAGTGTGGTGGTCTCATGCTTGTCGCATTGTGATAGCTTCATTCCTGCATCTTGGTAACAGCCCGGTCATGATTTGCCTTCCTAAACTCTAAGATCAGTCTTTGGTCAATCAAGGAAATATTCCGACGTACATAGTTGCTGCAGGCGCAGCGCAACGTTTCAGTTGTTTATTTGGCCTGCATATACTAGTATCCCACTCATGTCCGCAATGCAGGTCGCATTCGGACAGCTTAGCGTGAACCAAGACGATTTTTGAACCCGCGATTGCGGGGAAGCTGATGCCGGATAAAGATTTCGGGCCTGCAGTGTTGCAATAAGTCCCGTAAATCTACCAATTCATTCGCCCAATGCATCGTCTTCTTGCATAATTAATTCTTATCGTGAATGTCCGACCTTTCGAAATAGGTATATAAGATGTTGATCAATACCTTACTGTCTAATTCGACAACTTTGATCTAAAGAAAGGAATACTATAAAAGCCTGTAGGGCCTTTTTCACTCTTACATTCAAACGTCTTCGGAATTCCTACATCTCCAATGTTTATTTCACAATTGAAACGCCTGCTCCTGGCTGGGTTGGCTTTATATAATGTCACTGTCAGTGCGTCAGTACTTCAGCCAACTCCTCCAATGGGTATGAATATTCCCAAACCAGCATTTCTAATACTAGTTTCTAATTGCGTTTCAAGGTTTCAATAATTGGTCAGCATTCATGTGTGGCCTCAACGAATCGTTATTTGTGGAAACAGCTCAGGCGATGGTAGAGAAGGGCCTACTTGCGGCAGGTTACAACCGGCTCAATCTAGATGACTGTTGGAGCCAGGGGAGTCGAGAATCCAACGGAAGCCTTCTATGGAACCCTGAAAAATTTCCACACGGTCTTCCATGGTTGACCAGCTATCTGAAAAGCCTAGGTTTTGATTCAGGAATCTATACCGATGCCGGAATCAACAGCTGTGGTGGGTATCCGGGTTCATATGGGTATGAAGAGCTTGACGCCAAATCTTTTGCCTCTTGGGGATTCAATTACCTCAAAGTTGATGGCTGCAATATGCCTGTCGCAACAGAACAAGAGTATGAGCTTGTTTACGGCCATTGGCATGGTATCTTAAGTGCAATGGAGCACCCTCTTATCTTTTCAGAGTCAGCCCCGGCATACTTTGCGGAGCAGGACAACTTGACTGATTGGTATACTGTGATGAACTGGGTCCCAAAATATGGACAGCTTGCCCGTCACTCCCGTGACACACTGGTCTTCAACTCAACTTCATACTGGCCCGATATCACTGGATGGGACTCTATCATGTTCAACTATGGACAAGAGGTACGATTGGCACGATATCAGAAGCCTGGGTACTTTAACGATCCTGATTTCCTGATAGTTGACCACTTTGATCTATCACTGAGTGAGAAGAGGTCACATTTTGCTATCTGGGCCTCACTCTCGGCCCCTCTCATTATCAGTGCTGATATTCCGGCATTAAGTGCAGATGAGATTGCTTATCTCACGAATAAAGATCTAATTGATGTCAATCAAGACTCACTGGCATTGCAAGCTACACTTGTTAGCCAAGATGGTACCTGGGATGTTTTGACCAAAAATTTAGCCAATGGTGATCGACTTCTCACTGTTATCAATCGAGGTAACTTGACTGCCAGCTACAAAATACCATTTCAAAGGATTGGAATCTCAGCTTCGACAGTCAAAGCAAAAGACCTATGGACAAAAAAATCAGTATCCACATCTAAAGTAGTCACAGCCGTCAATGTTCCTTCTCACGGTACTGCAGTATATCGGATTTCTGCTGGGTATGGAGATCTGGACGTCAAACTCACTGGTATGATTTTCAACACAGCATCACTAAAGGTTCTCACATACTCTCATCAGGGTTTAGCATGGGCGCTATCTGTCGGATCCGATGGGCAAGTATGGCAAGTAGATGACGATGGTACTATCAAGGGAATATTTGATACTTCCAAGTGTCTAACGGATCTTGGAGGTGGAAAGGTATCACTAATTGCTTGTTCTGGGAACAAGACTCAGAGATGGGAGTACTATGTTACTGGGAATGTTGTTGGCCTTAATACCGGGGCATGTTTGGCTGAGAATAATCATGGTGATGTTGTAACGGCGAAGTGTCAGTTTGAAACTAACAGTCAGGTGTTTGGTCTACCCAGTGGAATTAACGTCATTGGACAATGATCATACGGATCATTTGGAGAACACCAAGGTTAAAACCGTATCTCAACGCACTGTGATAATGAGCGCACATCAATGACTAGCACTATTTAAACACCTTTTAGTCTTAATAATATCACGTGCAAGTCAGGTCCTAAGAAGTAGCAGTTCTGGTTGAAAAACTCCACTAATACTTTCTATGCAGCTATCAGCCGTCGGAACACATCTAGTTTCCTTTTCAGCTCAGGAATACGAGAATGTTCCCGTAAAAGAATTAGCAGCGCTTCTGCTACGTTACAACACTTTACCCCGCCAAAAGTAGCCCTGCATCAATATATCGAATCAGCGGATGTCCAACTCCGAAAATCTCCCGCCACCATCCCAACTTTCATTTCAATATCAACACCTGATATGGCATATCTAACGCTTGACAATTTGTACCTGGACAAAAAAAGCTTTGCTCGTCCTTAACAGATGTCTACTTGTTCTCCTTGACAACTACAATAATATCAAATGTCGACACCAAAATCAAAACTCCTAGAATCTCTCGAACGAGATGGCTTTGTTCTCATCCCTTCTCTTCTGAGTCCAGCAGAAATCGATTCTCTCCGCGTCGAAGCAAAAAGCACCGTCGATCTCGCTCGCTCTGGCTCATGGCCATACGTTCGCACCCTTCCCAAACAATTCCCACCATGGAATATCGACGAAGGAGAGTCGCCTGCAAATGTTGGCATTTGGGGTGTACAATCGCTGATGAATCCCAAACTTCCAACTTCGTCTTCTTTTATCAAGATATACTTTTCGGATAAGATGCTGGGTGTTGTGAAAGAGCTGTTGCAGTGCGAAGACGATGATTTGGTTATGGAACTATTCAATCTGTTGATTCGTCCTGATCGCGACTTTGAGCTGCGTTGGCACCGTGACGATATTCCATCGTCTGCCACGGCTGAAGAGGAACTCGCGAGATTGGCGGAACCGGCTTGGCATGCGCAGTGGAATATGGCGTTGTATGATGATGCGTCTCTCATTGTAGTGCCCAGGTCTCACAAAAGGGCTAGAACTGATGCAGAGAGAGAGATGAATGAATACGAGACGGGAGTGGAGGGCGAGATTAGAGTGCAGATGAAAGCGGGAGATGTGGTTTTCTATGATAACAATATCTTGCATAGAGGAAAGTATGAGAGTATAAGAGAAAGGGCGACATTGCATGGGAGTGTGGGACATAGGAATGGAAAGGGAGTGAGGGCGAGAAATGTGCTGCAGCATGGATTGAGGGAGGTGAGTTGAATCTAACATTCTATCCCTTGAGTAGATGATTGTTAAGCGATGGTGCTAATTTTGTGTGTGGTATTCAGTGGGTTAGTGAGATTAATCTCAGTGTGTTGAATGGAGAGGAGAAAGCAAGGGCGGAGGGAATGAGAGAAAGGTTGCTGAAGATGGCAGAGGAGAGTGGTGAAGTGGGCTATTCATTGGATGGTTGATTTTGAATAATCGAAAGGGGGGGAATCTGTGTCAGGCATTCAGCTGGTAGTGTGCAATGAGGGTCTAAATAATTGAAAGCCTTATTACATCTATCTAGTAGCGGGAATATTTCTATGTTCTTAGAAGGTTCTGTGAATTTGTTTTTCGACATTCTTCTTTCACCATGAGTACAGCAATGTCATGAGGGTATATGAGTAAGTGAATAATAACAACTAAAAACTTTCGATAACTACGTCATCCTTCACACACAGGTGTTCAGTTAAATTCACCTACCACAGGCTTTATGCTTTATCATCATACACTGGAGAGTCCTGTCTTAAGACTTACATTCTCCTTCAACAGACCACCTCCCACCACTTCCTCTTCAGAGCTCCATTTCCAGCAAATCTTCGGGATTCATGAATTCTCTCCGTGATAACTTCCCCCATCAACATACCCAAATAGTTTGCAAGGTCTCGAATCGTGTCATGAGCACACCCCATTGATCCGTACACTCATACTCCCAGACCCTTTATTGGTCGCATTACAGTTAACACTCCCAATTTGATCGTCAAACGCCTCAATCATCACGCCCCAGACACAAGCAACCTCACCCTAATCTCTTCAACACAAACCACCGTAATCATGAACTCCGAAAGAAAGATAAAGGAACTCAAGCGCAAAATTCAAGCCATGCTCGAGGCTTCAGAAGATGGTCTTGCCACATCAGTCGTAGAACTCTGCAGAAGTACCATCCAAACCATCGAAACGAATCGTGTCGGCAAACTCCGAGTCTGGAAGGAATTCTACGAGCCCCCACGTGTTGCGGGTCGCAACGCCCGCAAGGATTCGGTTGAATATAAGGAGAAGATCGTTCACAAATATTACCATTTGCATAAGACGCTTCCGGCTTTGGAGAAGTTGCGAGATATTGGTGCGGATTCTTCGTTATTCCGTTTGGGGAAATGACTAACTTACTCACGACAGATCTTGTGAGACAAGATGTGTTGAAGGAGTTGAATAATCAAGTATTGGTGGCGGAGCAATGGGAGAAGCAAGAGGACTTGAAGAAGCAAGATGGCTCGAAGTAGCTCGAGGAATTAGGAAACCAAGAGAGACAAGGTAAATGAACGAAGACCAGGATTATGAATGGGATGAGCATGAAATAATATGAGATGGGAGGAGCAGAGGATTGTGATTAGGCAGACTTAATGCGATAGTTTCGGTTCAAGGGAGAAGATCTGTGACATGACGCAATAAAGTCATCGATTCACCTAAGTCGGTGCCAAAATACGGATAGATTCAGGTTTTGATTCTTGACGATAAAAATAAAATAATAGGAGTTACTCATCACAATTATGATAATATTATGCCTTAATATTGAACTTCATTGCATTGATTTTAACTAATTACTAGCATGCCATTGGCACATTCCAAGTCCAGTACTTCTTATTAATCATGTAAGAACACTTTGAACATGGCATATAATCATTTCATCAACCATCTTGATTGAATAGCTTGAAGCAGTCTTTGGGAAGAAGCTGTGTGAACTTTAAAAACCATGCCAAATTTGGATTCCAAATCCATATAGCATACCGACTAGGCTTCTTTGACCAGCGCGCAAGACTTGTAAATGCATGTCAGGGGAAAAAATAAAACAACGAGTGAGGTCAGTTCAGTCAGTGTTCGCAAAGTGTACTAGGTAGTTCCCAAAGCTATGTGTGTTTCTGCCTTCAAAATCTTTGGAGTGTAATCACTCAACCTCAAAGTCACAGAGCGACAATTCATCTTCGAGTTTTGTTATCAACAAATATAAGATTCTTGATCATCATATTCAAAAGAAAAAGGAGAGCTGCAAGACCAAATAGAGAAGGCAGGCAGGGCTAAGATAGAAATGGAAAATACGAGAAGACCCTTTATACATTTTGCGTATGGGGTGTGTAAATAGTCAGTGTGGGAAGGTGAATATTTGAAATTTCTTTGTTCTTGGTATGAAATAAAGGAGTGGAAAGGGATCGAGTCATTGCTTTTATACTTGAGGTACTTGAGAAGGAAGGTACTATTGACCGCAAATATACTTCAATTTCAGATAGGAAAGAACGAAAAGCAAGTAGAAGAAACAAAGTCCGCGATATTGTATTCATAGCAGCATTCATTAATGCTTCATTCAAATATGGATGCGAACGAATATGAGAGTCATTTTTTTATCATCAGTTCTTCCAAAAGGTCCATAGAATTGATCAGAAAGAAGTAAAAATCACTTCGGGATGAAAGCATTAAAACACAGTCTTACCCAATAGTAATGAATTGAGTACTGTTTTCATGAGGAAATATGCTTGCATTTGATAGATAAAGGTAGTAAGATTGAAATTATCACTGAATACTGGTTTCGATTACTCGTACTTCATCATGATCTTTACGAAAAGAAAAAGAAATAACCCCCTCCTTCTTCTCCCAATGAATCAAGAACGGAAAGACCACAGTAGGTACCTTCGAAGTATCTTGTATGGTTGTACTCAGCGTACTACCTCACGAAGTGAAATATTCTTCATTATTTCGACCTCGCATCAGATTTTGATCTAGTCTCACAACCAGACAGCCAGAACCTCATCAACCATGAATCATCAGCTGCATGTACTCGATACATCCACAACTGCACACTACAGGAATCACTTGAGCCACATTAAGAAGATAAACACGTACTAGACGCATAAAACCTGTATCTCTTCTCAGAAATCCCCTTACTATTCTCCTCCAATTTTACAACAAGTTCCCTCTTCCACCCGTCACCACCCACTGTCGAGCTAACATGCTGTGCCTCGCACCTGGCACAAGATCAGACTATAGAAAGACGAATTGGAAAGAGGGAAGTTACTAACCACTTCACTGTACAGATCCTTCAATTTCCTAAACGCGACGGAGTGTTTATGTACTGTAGCCAGACATGGCCTGCCTGACGAAGTCCCTACCGATCAAATCGGTTGTTTCGAAGATAGGAACCAAAACATATCTGCAATGGTACACCCATTCAGCCCGGTTTAGGTTCCGATATGTCACTCTACTTGCACCGCTACTTCACGGAACAGTCAAAATTCCGACAATTCGGCAGTCCAAAACACAGTCAGCCTAAGGTTAATTGGTGCCGGAATATACAGAACTACTTATCCGCATGCGAGTAACTCAAAAACAACAGTTAACTCAAAAATAACAGTTGGAACACATACAATTAGCTGTCTCCTAAAAATCAACAACAGTTGTCATTAATCAAAGCTTAACGCGCCAGAAGGGCAAAAGAACTCGTGGCATTCGACAAATTAATATTGAGCCTCATAATTTGGATAAATGTAAAGATGAATCATTTATTACATTGCAAGGACGCCGAATGTGTAATGAATGGTAGGCTACGTATGAGTTACCACACTTCAACCACACCACATCACACCGATATCTTCATTTCGTTACCGCCGAGAGGAGCAGAGCCTCAGTTCGCGAGATTGGATGGTTTCGATTAGGGAACTCCGACCAGATTCGGCGGCCATGGTTATGCAAATGCAAGCGAAAGCGAACAACCCCGCACATTCACGATTGATCAAGCAAACCAATCAAACTACCAAGCAAGCACGGAGACAATGAAAACTCAATAATTCACATGCATGATGAATCACCATCCCATGTGTTTCCCCAGTCGAGACCACCATGAAGCCAACATTTATATGATTTTTCGATCCCAAGTTTTCAAATCCGTCCGTCCGAAGATCCTTCCTTCATGGGAATAATGAAAGACATCAAATATATGCGAATATGCACTGCGCCCTTCCCATCCATCCCTTGACCCTACCCCGAATGCTGGGTAGATTTTAATCATTTGACCACCACCGCACACAGTGGGCATACGAATGAACATATCGTACGTACGTCTATGTGTCTCGAATGGGATACAGAGAAGTTCCTCATGCCGCGGACGGCGGAGGAAGAAAATGTACAATATTGACCCGAGCCCGGCCGATGGCGAGCTCGAGATAAAATCTTGATCTGTGATGATATCTCCTCCGTTCAATTTGTACCTAGATGGCGTATTTGACGAGTTGAATGGAAGCCTAATTAGCATAAACAAGGAATATATTTCATCCACTTCCACAACATTCACATGGCATGGGCAGTTTGAAACATTGAACAAGGCTCGAATGTATCACCATACCATATAAATCTTTCTTCAAAGGTCGGATTGATGGTTGATAAGGTCGATCAAGGAAATATCTCCTCGGATCCGAATGGAGACTAACCTGCCTGTTTCACTGACAAAAGATGTTTTGATTGGCTCGATATAAAATACATGTGCTGCAAGGATCAGACCTTGGAAATTGGCATTTGTGAAGATATCTAGGAAAGGCAAAAATACATTTCCGTTCAACTTTGTCTTTCGATATTGAGAAAGTGTAGATTATTTAATTTAACTTAACCCCAGGCCTGTGGTTCCAAGTTCCGGGTATTCTTGAGGGAAAAGAAATAGATGAGGGAATTTGGTTACAAATTGAACTGCCCCTCGTTCATATGGGATTTTCCGTGCTTTTACCGCAAACGAAGAGCCAATCCATAATGCAAGTTTTCCACTCGAACCACCTTTTAACCGCAATTCCCACTTTCCTCCACAATGTACGTGAAAAAGGCACAAGGCAGCACATCCACAGCCGTTTCGCGACACGGTCCAGAACTAAATTGATTCTCCCTTCACGTTGTTTACCGCATGTCCGTTTGCTACTACTCACACGAGTTACCAGATTGGGAGTGAGTGGTGTGTCTATCTATCTATCTTTACCATGCATCGATTTTTGGCAAGGATGTTTGAACATCCGGCTCAAACAGACTTGTTACCACATGGCTTGCCTGCTTTATACCACATGGTATTTCCTGCGATGGAGATGACATGTACATGAGAGCCCTGTAATTTACGGAGCAACATCTTTTTAACATATGGCCTCCGTATGCCAGCAATTACGAAGGAATGGAATGTTCGGGGACGAACAACACATCTATCTTTCTGAACATCGATTCAAAAGGACCAAGACGGCTCAGTGGGATTTCAAGATCATCCAAGCCGGCAAAAGGAATTCCGTTACCCGTATCCACTCAAGGAATGAAATTATCTCCATCAATTCCGTACTCCGCCATGCAAACGGGTCAAGCGTAATTATCGATTCCTTTCATTGCGGCGCATCTAATCGCTATTTAACCCACATGAAAGCTATCACGGGTCAATATTGCAATATAAAATGGAAACATAGGGACATTATATATGCTGAATAAGTTGCTTCACCTCCAAGCCATGGAAAAGGTCAACTGATCCACTTCATCCCCCACTGTGACTCCTACAGTAGCAGTCTACTACCGCCACGGATATGGCCGTGATGATATGAAAGATTCATGAGATGGGTCGATGGATGGAGTTCGTGAATCATTAGGGTCTTTCTGATGGTTTCTGTGGAGTGAGTGAGTTGTGGAGTTTGTCAAAGTTGATCGTTTAGGTGGAATTCCATTCCATGCCCCCGTCTCAATTCACCCCGCTGTTACCCGTTTTGAAACGTCCATGGACTGTCCAGGTGAGCGCTTGCGAGTAGAGTTGCTTTTGAATCGTAGTTCAGTAGGGTTCCTGTATGTATTTTAAGTATCAAAGGTGAAGTATTAGCTTGAAATATGTACTTGATTGTATCCGCCCGCAAACAAGTAAGGTTCATGAATAATGACCGCGGCGATGACTTGAGATGGATATTGCGGAGACAAAACTTCTTGGATGTCAAGTACTCTCTCAGGAAGTATGATATGAGTGAAGAGAAGAACCAGAAGCTTTATCCAGCTAATAGATCTTCTCCTCATTACCTTAATAAATCCGTCACTTTTGATTGGTCTGATATACGATGTCCTTCTCCTCACCATGATCTTTTCAAGGATTAAATTCGAGTGAGATCTTATGAAGATGTAACCAAATTGAGTATATTATTATCCATTCCTAACTTGTGCCACGGATATCCTCTTTCCTAGTATTTAATATATTCCTTCTCCATTATATCCTTTTTCCACTAATATTCCAATACTG